TGCACAATAATTATATAGATGGATGTGTCTTTCCACAAATATAAAGCAAGTGATATTGACTACATAACAAAGCCTAAATGGCATAATATATTGCATAGGATTACCAAGAAAAATTATAGCCATAAGCTAAGTTGAATCATTTTAATACTTAGGATTCTCACTAGTTTTGTCTTCAGTTTGTGTCGGTTTTGCTTCTCTTGGCTTTTCTCTTGTATTCGAGGAAAGGGCTATCTCTTACAACTGCACGTGACTACACGCTTCAGGTTCTTCCTCACTTGACTCAACCACGAAGGATTCTGGTGCTTTAGGAATTGGTAGCCCCTCTCCATGAGGAACTGGACGTATTGCCGATGGAATATTTGGATAGTGCACAGATAACTTTTTCTTCTTATTTAGCCCTTTTACAATTGGAGGCACCATACAAAAGTAACAATTACTAACATGATCTGTTGGCTCTCTCCAAATCATTGGCACAGCGAAAGGCATAGATGCCTTTTTTCCATTCAACCATTGCTCCAGTGCCGTCCCACAAGAATTGCAGCATATATGTGGTGCCCAGCTCTTGTCCTGGTCTCCTATCTTGCAGCCAAAATACAAGTTGTAGGCTTTCTTAATCATTCCTGTTATCCTCCTTTTTTGTGAGATAAAAGTTATTTCACCGCAGATATAGCAGAAATTATCTGCTTTATTCACACAAGTTCGAGGCATTACTGAGTAGCCTATATAAGCATAAAACGAAATGTAAAGACGCTGTCGAACTACAATCAGCTACAGATACTGCAGCTTTTATGCAGTGAAGTGATGCAATTAAAGGCTAATATTGCATCATCTCAGTATACATGCAATTTTCTATTGGTCACCAGTATCAATTGCGCAATATGCAGCTGAAGTTGCATCATAATTTTGAATGGCTTACGTCATTAGATGGGTGAATATATCATGGAAACTAGAGCCAATCAACATTTTTTAGGGTCATTTTCATTTTCAGCACCCCAAAATTATGTAAGATTAGCTAATTTTTATGCCCAAAACTTTTTACCTGTTGAACACAATCACAGGACAGCATCAATACCTCTACTACCTTACAGTATTGTATCACTGTTTGTCGCTGTATTTAGATCAAATAAACCCACGCTGATTTCATTCCCGTGTATACGTTTGGATCCGTCTAACCTGAGCATCTGCCGGTCCGGTCTGCTCCACTGCTTGGATACGAAGGTAGGAAGTTACACAGCCATTATCAGTTATACCTTTATTTCGCCTTCATGTGGGGACAGAACACAGAAGGCAGGCTCTGTGAAATGTGCGACACAGCAGTGCCCTTTCACCTGGCATAGTGAGTAGGTGTCACAGAATTCAAAGAAGTAAATGTGTGGGATCTTCACAAAGTAAGATTACAAAGCTCAGGGTGGTTCAGAATAATAGGCGTGGACTAGAAACAACTGCAATATAATGTGGAAATGAATATATGTTTATCAATTTTGACTGTCGATATGATTTAAATTTCTTAATGCGGATCTAAACTCATCTTGGCTCCAGCAATGCGACATCCTGGAGTCGGCTGACATCCCGTACGAGAAAGCAGAAAAAAATGACAGGTCTGCTGCAGGAGACCTGCATGGCATCAGTGATCTATTGATCGCTGGTGCAATGCTTTCCAGGCCCCTGCAGACAAAAATATTAAATGCACATTTTTATACCTGCAAAAAAAGTGCATTTATTTTTTTTTTCTAAAAGGTGACCTTATCCTTTAAGTGAAATGCACATGAGCAGTAGAAATCGATCGAGGAAAAAAAAAATGATGTTTAATGTTGAAAAATTATGAAGAAAAAAATTTCCGATAGAACGCTTGGGCCATAGAATGTTAGATCAACAGACGATTTCAATTTTTTTTTTAAATTGTATTTGTTTTTCTACTCATTTATGGCTAGCTTTGTTCTGTATTGTGTTCTTGTAAGTCATTTTAGAGGCAGGGCTTTACTTCTTCATATCAGTGCCTTCAGCAAAAATAGCGAGCAGCACAGAAGTGACATCACCAGATCTCACTGCGAAAATCCTGAAACTAGCAGACAAAAGCAACAGTGCCTTAGATCTGACACAGCAGAGGCACTGATTCACAAAGTTAGAAGCAGGGAGATACATGCAATTCCTCTCCAGCAAGCAGCACAGTAAATCCATAACAAAATCCCACTCCAAATCTGGTGAGACTTGCAACCACAGACAGCAGTGCTTCACACAGAGGTGCCTAGGCACACTCACTTACCAGGAAGTGTATTGTTATTTTTAATGAGGGCGTTCAGACAGATTAACACATAAACAATTCTATATATTGCCTATGACACAGAAAATTTAGACTTTTTGAGTTCAGGTCTACTTTACATTAACTAATACAGTAGATAAGCAAATGTGTAATTTTCAAGGATAGATTACAATTACTGGGTCTTGTGATGGCACCCTTCCTGCTAGGCTTGTTCAGATGGGCCTGTGATTTGTAGTTCATGCAGGAAAGACTGGCTCTATTAATCCCTGTGAATGAATGAAGCTGTCATATCCACAGAATAGATAAGCACCCTTCTGGTCACTTGCGTGCACAGGGACACATTCCCGTGCATTTCTGACCTCTGATGTCAGTTGGTCCATTTACTTGCTCTGTGGATGAATGTTAGTTGTGTTCACCCACATTGACAAATACAGCCTGTCACTGCTGTAAGCGTTGGTTGATGAGCTGTGTCTGCAAGTCGTGGCTCATCTCTCTGTGCGAATAAGATACATTTTATGACAAGTTAGATTGTAAGCTCCAAGGAGCAGGGCCCTCCTAACCCTCTTGTACTAAACTGTATTGTTGCTGTATTGTCTCCTGTTATATTGTAAAGCACTGAGCAAACTGTTGGCACTATATAAATCCTGTATAATAATAATAATGTTAGGTCTAAGGGACTATTCTCACTTGTACCCATAATAGCATGCTCTTTTTGTTGTATAGCTGCTGTACGTTCCATCGAGGTTGTCTAATCACTCGTAATGAGCAATCAACCAAAACACGCACTTGCCATAGGGTTCAAGTGTGTTTGCACACTGGGGTCCCATTAAAAAATGTATGTCAACAAACAGTCACCACGTGTTGTTGTTCTGCACGTTAATGAACAGGAAAACATGCCAAGGCATCACTCCTACTGCAGACGTGTGTTTACACGAAACGCGTCTAGGAGGAGCCCTCGCACGCCTTTGACGTCACGCCTCTGGATCAGGAGGTCCGGCGGCCCACACTTGATTTGTACTGGTCAGTGCTTGTTTAGGTGCTTCTTATGATTGCTCACAGCAGTCTCTTGTAACCTCTTTAGTTGGTTATGTACGTCATTGTTCTTATTTGATACAATAAATTTATTATTCATATTACTACACTATGAGCTTTAGTCCCCTTTATTCCCCATACCTGGCACCAGGATCTTGGCACCAGGCTGTTTCCACCCAGGACCCCAAGATGCATGTGATCTAGATATGCGCAATGATATTGTGCTTCTGGTGAGTAGGCAATCTATTCATACCTCTACAACAGAAGATTGGATCATACTCACAGAGATTGATATTTTATGGTGGACTACATAACTCTTATTAAGATAATATAAGTGGACTTATATCAGTCACATATTCTGTTATGATAAAGGTTTTATATTTGATTTAGTGCTGCACTCCCTGTTTTATGATTTTAGTAGAAAGGCCTTGTGGTTCCTTTTAGTGCATTGGTCGCTTTTTTGAGTGCGCTCACTGACTTACATATATCTATTGTTGGTATACGAAGATGAACTTTTTCAGCCAAAGTACATTAAAGCACAGCTAGAATAGATCTGCCATACAAATCCTAAGTAATGCTAGTTCATTGAACTAACATAAATCACACTGCACTGTACATTTTCAAAATCATAACATTAGGTATAATACAATGTTAAAATGACATATTTTGTTTTAATTTATATTTCCAGCTTACTAAAAAGATGACCTGAAAGGTTACAGTCTAACTAAAGAACATTCTTTGTGGAGAAAACGATGAGCTTTAAGTCCATCTGGCAAACATGTATTTATTGTACTAAGGCTTCTGTCAACTTTAAAGTGGTTGCAAACTTCAGACATGAAATATGAACAAAGCATATCCTTCTATAGCAGAAGTCACTAAATAGTGGACCGCGGACGGCCCCAACAGCACTGCCGCCCAGACCGCTAGCCCGCAATGTCAAATCCGCCGCTGAGCAGGGCAGTTGTCACAGCAACATGACATCACGTGTACGCCCCAACCCTTTGCAGATCACTGTTTTTCTCCGGCTCCCGCTCCCTACCTGTACACAAGCATCCAGCAAGGATTCCAGCACAGCTCCTGTCTGCCCTCAAGGTAGGGTGTAGTCTTACAGGGCACTCTGATGGGCACATTGAATGTTAGGGGCACAACATAGAATGTGCCCATCAGAGTGCCCCTTAACATAAAATGTGCCCATCAGCATGACCCTTATTTTATGTTAAGGGAAACTCTGATGGGCACATTTACATTAAGGGACACTCTGATGGGCACGTTATCTTAAGGCGCACTCTGATGGGCACATTTTATGTTAAGGTGCACTCTTATGCCCCTTAACATAAAATGTATCCCTCAGAGTGCCCCCTAATATAAATGTGCCCATCAGAGTTCCCTTTAATTTAAATGTGCCCATCAGAGTGCCACTTAATATAAAATATGCCCATCAGCATGCCCCTTATTTTATGTTAAGGGGCACTCTGATGAGCACATTTTATGTTAAGGGGCACTCTGATGAGCACATTTTATGTTAAGGGGCACTCTGATGAGCACATTTTATGTTAAGGGGCACTCTGATGAGCACATTTTATGTTAAGGGGCACTCTGATGAGCACATTTTATGTTAAGGGGCACTCTGATGAGCACATTTTATGTTAAGGGGTACTCTGATGAGCACTTTTTTTATGTTAAGGGGTACTCTGATGAGCACATTTTATGTTAAGGGGCACTCTGATAGGCCCATTTTATTATGTTAAGGGGGCACAAATGGGCAAATACTGTGGAAAGGGGCACTCTGATGGGCACATGTGATGGAAAGGGGCACTCTGATGGGGAATACGACGTAAAGAGGCACTCTGATGGGGAAATATAATAGAAAGGGGTACTTTGAGTGTAAGGGGGCACTCTGATGGGAATACCTGATGTAAGGTGGCAATGTGATAGGGACAACTGATGTAAAGGAGCACTCTGATGCGCACACCTGATGTGATGGGAATACATGATGTAAAGTTGCACTCTGATGGCGACACCTAATGTAAGGGGGCACTCTGATGGGCATACCCTATTTTAGTAACCGGACCTCCTTGAATGTTAATTGAATACCTCTGCTCTATAGTGTGTACTTGTCTTAATTAGGAGCACTAGGTGTCATTTCTGTCTCCTGCCTTGTTCATCTGCTATCTGAGTCACTTCTGACAAGTTTTTTTGACACCAAGAGAAGGGACAGGGAGGGAACTCCAGTTGATTGACAGCCTCAGCTCTGTTCCTTTGAAGGTAGTGTGTCCCTTCCCTCCAATCAGCTCTCAGAACTCCCCTCACTGAGTTCTGCAGAGTGTCATTTCAGCTTTCTGACAGCTGAAGAAAAGCTTTGTAAATTCTAACTTTGAATGGCTGTAGAAACGAAGACTGCAGCTAGACAGGTACAACTTATGTAGAAGGATTTGTTTCATCTCTGTGTATCACCTGAGGCCAGTCACTTAACTGGGTATATATGAAGGTTTACGATCACTTTAAGGGCTCATTTACATGTGGAAAAAAAGATAACTGCTCAACAACTGTCTTAAATTGAACCTTCACCTGAAAATGAATGTTTTCATCCTTCTCACCCTCCCACACCCCCAGCCTGGTTGGAATCACGTTTCTTTTTTGTGGGGAAGCAGGTACATTTTTTAAGGGTGTCCATTCCCATTTCCTTATTCCTCACATGGGTGTGGATGACTTCACCTCAGACAGCCCATGCCAGCCCCTGCCCCCATCCAATAACTCCTGGGATCATGTCACATATCCCAGGAGACTGCAGGACCAGTCTATCAGCCACCATAGGGGAGTCAGCTGTGAGTCATCAGGAAGTCACAGCTAGCTCCCAAATCCAAGATGGAGGTGCTGCTCCAAGAATCAGCTGTGAGGAAGAGAGCAAAGGACTCCATGGGTTGGTAAGGATCTGTTTCTTAAAAGTTAGCAGCTACAGTAATTGTTGTTGCTGATTTTTAATTTTCTGAACCCAAGCTGAAGTTTCTCTTCAAAGATGACCTTATAGGAACTTTACAAGTCTGCATGAATACATTCCTGACATGTCACAATATACAGCAACAGCATAACATTTCATAAACGCTCCACTTTTTCCATAAAAACAGTCCTTGAGAACCCCTTAAGTGATTGTGCCTTTACTGATATGATCAGAAAGACATTAATGAGATGTTATGGAAAGGCGAGGCGGTGACTAACATCATGATCCCCACCTTGTCTAATCAGAGAATGGTTTGCATTCATTGAAAAAATGCAAGTGTTCCCTAAATGGCGCCCATACCAAGTGTGTGAACTCTTGTGTAGGACCTGGCAGCAGGGCAGGTTTTTGGCTCGGGACCCAGAAGCTAGCGAGGATCACCATAGTAGGGGAGACTACTGATTTCAAGTTTCTATAGGGATTGACCAGCTATGGCACATGCGTACCTACATTGGTCCAATGTAACCATGCCAAAATAATATTATCTAAACTTCAGCTTTAAAAAAACAAATAGCTAGGCCCAATTTAATGTATATAATGGAATTCCATTTGCCTAATGAGCATATAGTGGATTGGGCAACAATTATGTATTACAAGAATCGGAGGAAGAGATGTTTGGGAAACATCATAGTCATACATTAGTCTGTTAGAGGAGAATATGGAAAATCTTTTACCTGACGGCCCGTTACTCTATGGAAACATACATCGCTTAACTGCTTCAATATCTCCTACATCCTAGACTTAAATTCTACCACAGCTAATCGCAAAAGTAAATGTACATATTTGTTACAGAACATGCATAGACAATGAGGTCATTTCCATTAATGTGGATGGTATTCCAATGTGCTGAAGAACAGTCAATTTAAGTGTCCAGATAGATTACCCTGAATGGGCCTAGCAAACTGACTCAAGTTTATGGTCATTTCTTTCTGTCAGAAAAGTATATTGATCAATAAACTAATAAGGATGAATGAAAACTAGAGTTGCTTTTTCCATTTTCCAGAAATCAAATTTGGCTCCAGTACGACAAAATAAATTAGAATAATATAGTGTAACACTGAAATGCAGTTATCAAAGAGGACTTATCCCGGGTGAAATTTCTTATTCATCAAGGCGTTTATAAGAAAAATGCATTATTGCCAGTAGTGCTACATTTAACAAAAACAAGTGACCTGTTTCTCAGCTTAGTTAGGCCCATTTTAGAACATTCCTTCTTCATGACACTTCTCTAAACTTCAGCCAGAGCAATCCATGAGTAATGTCAGGCAGGGAGGAGTAGAATCTGATGATGAACAGGAGGAAAGAAAGAGGTTAGCGGGAAGACGGCTTTGGAAAGAATGTCCAAAACGGTCACCATAGGCCTATTTCATATCTAAGGAACCATTCACACTGGTCTGGTCTATTGTGTTACATCACACATAAGTGTGCATTGCACTAGGGTAGCCTATTTGTTAAAATAAGTTGCCTAGCACACTACAATGGGCTAAAATCGTTCCCAGTTATCCAAATAAAACTTGCAGTGCTGCTTTAAGCAGAGACAGAGATCTCACCACCAGTTGCAGTGAAGGGAGCTGGCATCAGTTCATCATTCTGTGATCAAGCCCCGGTGGGCACGGTGAAACATGTCAAGGAGCGGCGCTGGCTGGAGCGGCGCTGGCTGACACCACATTCATCTACATATTAATGCACTGGGTTGGTGAATGGCTCCTTTTCTTCTCTTTGATAATGCTAAAATTGTTCCCGCTGCATATTGACTAGAGCAGCACACCACAACACATGCCAGTGGGCGGTGTACTGCAATGCAGGTAAATAAAAGTCCTTTAGGATGAAGACAGCGCTAACATTTTAACATAAATCTAATATACTGTATATAGCTTGTGAAAAAAGTGCTCGTGGATGAAGCATTATAACATACACTCACTGGCCTCTTTATTAGGTACATCTGTTCAATTGCTTGGTAACACAAATTGCTAATCAGCCAATCACATGGCAACAACTCAATGCATTTAGCCATCTAGACATGGTGAAGACGACTTGCTACAGTTCAAAGTGAACATCAGAATGGGGAAGAAAGGGGATTTATGTGACTTTGAACATGGCATGGTTGTTGGTGCCAGCCGGGCTGGTCTGAGTATTTCTGCTGATCTACTGGGATTTTCCATCTCTAGGCTTTACAGAGAATGGTCCGAAAAAGAGAAAATATAAAGTGAGCAGCAGTTGTGTTGATGAAAATGCCTTGTTGATGTCAGAGGTCAGAGGCGAATGGGCAGACTGGTTTGAGGTGATAGAAAAGCAGCAGTAACTCAAATAACCCCTCATTACAACCAAGGTATGCAGAATACCATTTCTGAATGCACAACACATCAAACCTAGAAGCAGATGGCTACAGCAGCAGAAGGTCACACCAGGTGTGACCTTCTGCTGGAGGCTACAATTCACACAGGCTCATCAAAATTGGACAATAGAAGATTGGAAAAGTATTGCCTGGTCTGAGGAGTCTTGATTTCAGCTGTAATATTCAGATGGTAGGGTCAGAATTTGGCATAAACAACATGAAAGCATGGATCCATCCTGCCTTGTATCAACAGTTCAGGCTGGTGGTGTAATGGTGCGGGGGGTATTTTCTTGGCACACTTTGGGTCCCTTAGTACCAATTGAGCATCAATTAAATGCCACAAGCTACTTGAGTATTGTTGCTGACCATGTCCATCACTTTATCAGCACAGTGTGCCTATCTTCTGATGGCTACTTCCAGCAGGATAATGCATCATGTCACAAAGCTCAAATCATCTCAAACTGGTTTCCTGAACATGACAATGAGTTCACTGTACTCCAATGGCCTCCTTGGGATGTGGTGGAACGGGAGATTTACATCATGGAAATGCAGCTGACAAATCTGCAGCAACTGCGTAATGCTATTATGTCAATATGGACCAATATCTCAGAGGAATGGCTCCAACACCTTGTTGAATCTATGCCACGAAGAATTAAGGCAGTTCTGAAGGCAAAAGAGAGCTCAACCCAGTACTAGCACACCGTACCTAATAAAGTGGCTAGTGAGCGTATAGGGAGTTATTAACTATAACTGGAGAGTAAAAATCTGGTGCAGATCTGCATAGAAACCAATCAGCTTCCAGGTTTTATTGTAAAAGTGTAATTGAACAAGCTTATTGTCTACCATGCACAGCTGCATCAGTTTCTGAGTGCACCAGTTTTAATAAATCTCCCCCATAGTATCAATAATCTATAGAATAATCATGCATTGTGCCCAAATCTATGTGTGTTCTTCTGTGCCTTTAACCGCTTCCCTGCCACCCTATAGCAGATATACAGGGTGGCAGGGGTGCACAAAATCATATATATATATACGTAATTTGGCATTTCCAGGTACGGGGCACACGCGAGCCATGTGCGAGTTATACCCAAGCCGCCATTTGCAGCCACGGCTGTCAATCGCTGGGTCCCGCCCAGTGATTGCCCACTGGCACCCGGTGATTACCGAGGATCTCTGACGGGGAGGAAGACTGCTTTGTTCTCTAACAGTCCTTGTCGGCTCGGGCACACTGTGCACAGCACAGCCACCCAGAGCAGTGTGCATACAGTGAAGCACCAACACACCACCCCCCAGTAAAACACTCCTAGCACACAGTTAACCCTTTGATTGCCCCTCATGTTAACCCCTTCCTGCCCAGTGCCATTAGTACAGTGTCAGTGCTTTTTTTAAGCACTGGTCACTGTATTGGTGTCACTGGGGAAGTCAATGACACCAAGTCAGTTCCCCCCAGTGTCAGAATGCCCCCCGCAGTCCCGCTGTAAGTCGCTGATCACCGCCATTATTAGTATTAAAAAAAAAATTGTAGTATTTATACAGCCATTTGTAAACACTATATCTATATCTATATGTATTGGGATTTTTTTTTAGCAAAGACATGTAGCAGAATACATTTTGGCATAAATTTATGACAAAATTGTATTTTTTAATTTTTTTCTACTGGACATATTTAATAGCAAACAATAAAAAATATTGTTTTTTCTCAAAATTATTGGTCTTTTTCTTTATAGCGGA